GGACACGGTCCCCTCAGCCAGGCAGGGCCAGGACACGGTCCCCTCAGCCAGGCAGGGCCAGGACACGGTCCCCTCGGCCAGGCAGGGCCAGGACACGGGCCCCTCGGCCAGGAACAGCTGGGACATGGTCCCCTCAGCCAGGCAGAGCCAGGACATGGTCCCTTCAGCCAAGCAGGACCAGGAGAGGACAGCGTGGGACAGGAAGTGGCCTCAGCACCCCAGCGGCTTCCCCAGAATTATTTGTGGACAGTGCGCAAGGCTGGGGGAGGAGAGTGCATGGGGTGGTTTTCCAGCTCCGGGAGAATGTCTCTGCACTGGGGTTGGTGCAGAGAAAGGCACTAAAAAGCCTCTTGGAAGAGTCCGCAGCGGGCAGGCACCCTGCGCTCGTTCGAGGCGGGAGTCCCTCCCTGAAGCGGGCAGTAGAGCAGTAGCCTACAGCAGCTGGAAGAAGATGACAAGTAGCTTCTGTTTGATGTGATAAGGGAGAAGCAGAGGGTGACATGACAAAAGTGGCATGGTAAGGAAATAGTCTTGCCAGAGCACTCGGAATGTCGCTGAGCATCCACCTGCTAACGGCCGCTTCAGGGGATGCAGCAACATGAAAGAGCAGGAGCTTCCATGGGCTGTGGACACGAGTCCTCACTCTGGGTGGTTGTACTCTGTTGTACTCTGAGCAGTGCTATCTGTCCACAACATCCTTCCATTGTTAATTCAGCAACAGCAGCTTTCCATGCAGAACTAATAATTAGCTGAGCTTTTACATCACTACTTGGCCGCCTGCACAGTCGCATTAATTTTTAAACAAATAGGCGGTGAAAGAGCCTACAAATGCATTCTTCACTGGGGAAAGCAGGTGCTGTTCCTCTGAATACAGTGAAGTGGCAGCCATAAACAATGGTGTGGGATTTGATTATGTGTGAAGCCTGGGCTGTGCATCAGATGTTGTGGTTTTTGGCCCTTGCCAGTGGCTGTGCCTTTTCCCATGTGTTAGTTCGTTCTTTGTGTTTGTACCTAGATCCAGAGTGGGCTTCTTACAAACTTGGAATATTCATTTGTTTGAATTGCTCTGGAATCCATCGCAATCTTCCTCAAATCAGCAGGGTCAAATCACTTCGACTCGACTTCTGGGAGAATGATCTTATAGAGGTACAGAGGAAAAAGCAGTAATTCTTTTACTATTTATGATTTCATCCTAACCTTCTCTGCCTCGTAATTCCTGTGTTGTCCACCATGGACAGGGTAGCAAAGCCACATAAAGCCAAGTTAACTCCATGGGTAACTTTTTTTTATGACCTACTCGATCAAATTACACTGATAGGTGATCATGTTTCTAACAGCCTGCAGTGTTTTGGGTTTTTTTTATAGCACATGGTAACTCTTCATTGTGGCTTAGAAGCCCACAGATATTTCTAGGTAGTGTGTTCTATTCAGTAATCAACATACCCTTCTTAGATATTGGTTCAGCCTCTCATCTTTCAATTGAATTGTGTTAATAATATAATCACAGTTAATGTCAAGGAGGAGTTGAAGGTATAGGGAGATCATAAATACCTTTTCTCCTCATTTTCTTCTGTTCTTTTAATCAACAACCATAATCTTGTCTTTCTCCCCATCTGGTTCAGAACTGTAAATACTGAAAAAAGGCTCAGCCGCCTAAAAAGTGCAAACTGTAGTGCCAAAGAGAATTCATAAACTTATGTAGAGACACACAGAGAGTTATGGTGAGGCTAAACAAAAAGTGCGGTGCTCTCTTTGTTACAAGTTTCGTTTTATGTTGATGACATGGTGTTGATTTTGTAGTTGCACACCTAACTGCAACTTCTTTTGTGTTTCAGTTTATGAAGAAGCACGGGAATCTCTCTGCCAAAGCCAAATATGAGGCGAAAGTCCCTCCCTACTACTACATCCCTCAGTCCTGTGATTGCTTGTAAGTTGATGGTGTATTCACTGCTGCAGACCTTTACAGCTATTGAACTGCTACATCCCTCTGCAGGTCTCTGGTTGGTTGGTGAAAATAGAGTAGAGGCAGATCAGCTTCATCCATGTTTTCCTCTTTCAGGGTTTTAAGAGAGCAATGGATTAGAGCTAAATATGAGCGTGAGGAATTTGTTGCCACCCAAGTCTGCCAAGATCCTTGTTCTGCAGGTAAAAGTTAGGATTGTCAGGGGAAAGGCGTTAGCCTGAAGGCCAACAGCACAATGTTATGTTTGCAACTTTGAAGATCTTTAAGGTTGGGTTGTCATATTTGAACTGTTAGATGTACAGGCCTTGCTTTGAGTCTAACTTTGAGGAGAAGCTCCTAAGAAAAGGCACTTGGACAAGTGCAAGGGTGTATTCAGATCTTACAGTTCCCCAGTTCTTCACTGATTTTTTCATATGAGGTGAAAATTCTCAGATGGAGAAGAGACTTGAACTCCGTGCCACATCCCCATTTAGATAAACAGTCCTGCCATTGTGCTGCCCTTCTCTGACACTTATCTTTTCCGATCTGCAGGTAGCCGTGAAGGATTCCTCTGGAAGCGTGGGCGGAAACGCAGAGAGTTCCAGAAGAGGCTATTTTTCCTATCAGCAAGGGAAGGGGTGATGAAGTACTACACCAAAGAAGTAAGTTCCTCAGCCAGGGTTGGCTGTAGGTAGCTGGTCAACATCCATCCTCAGACCCTGCTCTTCACCAACAAAAACCAGCATAAATAGCTTTGTCTCTAGTTTTGCAGGCAGGCCAGCCTGTGTTTGGAAGAGCCCAGATGTTTCCCTATTAATGTATGTAGTATCTTAGGAAATTGCTCTTTTGGATTTAGCCCTTTTCCTCATCCCTTATCTTAACCCTGCAGCCTCCTTTTGCTTAGTGAACAAAGGAAATGGATACTGGCAGTTGAACAGCAAGATGAAGAAAAGATCTGTTAGCAGTTGTTACCTCTTACATTAAGAAAATATTCTCTCATCAACTGCTGCAGCATCATCCTCAATATGTCACCCTTCTGTGAAGAGTGTAGCTATTTCTTCTCCAACTGTGAAGCTGGAGATACTATTGCAAGTCAGACACATCCCTCCCAAATACTGACCCAGCTTTGTCAAAGAAAGGGAGTCACTCTTTTTAAGTGATTTTATATAGCGTGTAATTAAGGCATTATATTTCATGTGTGTCCAATATTCAGGTATTTTAGGATGCCTGCTTTTTCTTCAGTAGGGATCTAGTTCTCATACAGCTAATCTATCCTCCATTACCTTCCCCGAGAGAACTTTAATAGAGCAATGCTTTTCATTTCACAGTCCAGAGGTCCAAAAGCCATTATCAGCATTGAGAATCTGAATGCAATGTTCCAGACAGAGAAAATCCAACATGCACATGGGCTGCAGATCACGTACAACACAGATGGTCAAACAAGGAACCTTTTTGTCTATCACGAAAGTGGAAAGGTGAATACCATGGAGATTTTGGAATAAGCAAGATGTCTCTATTTCTATTTTGGAAGAACTACTCTGTTTCTACAGAATCTGGTTTTATTTGAAGTCACTATGAGTTGTAGAGTATAAAAAGGTGCAGAATTTGACACTTAATAACTAACATCTTGCTCCTGTTCTGTTAGGGCATATATTCAACTTCACACCCTGAATAGCCTTCAGGCTTCTGTGAGGCATGTATGTAAATCTCTGTAAGGTAACTGTCTAATGGTTTTATACCATTCTGTGGTCATATTCTTTGAAACCTTCTTGACATACATGGAAAATACTGTCGTTCTGCATTATTTCCAAGCAAACAGTTATAATTTTAACAAGTATGTCTATAGGTTTTGTTAGATTTCTGTTTTTTCCCTTGCCATAGTTCCCAAGTCTTTCTATGTACAAAGGTTTTTAAACAATCTATAACTGAATCAACTGAAAAGGCCTGTGTACACAGACTTGGGTGACTGTCCATGCTGAGACTGTCTGGGACCTCCCTGGAGGGGAAATTTTAAATTATTTTGGAGGCTCAGTGTTTTTCAGGTGTCTGGGATAAGTCACTGACTCTCTCTGCCCCTCAGGGAGAAAGTGTATCTTTTCAAAGAGGTCGCAAGGAAGAAGAAATGCATTTTGGAGAGGCAGCACTCTTACTCCTTCTTGTTATTCTTGTCTTTATGTTTGTATTTGCTGTTTTCCCTAGGAGATTGTTGACTGGTTCAATGCCATTCGGGCAGCACGTTACTATTATCTCAGAACAACCTTCCCAACTGTCCCTGAGCCTGAGGTGAGAACTCAACAGAGCTTGAAGCAGTCTATGCAAACATAGCATGGGAAAACATTTTCTCACTACTTCTGCCAGAGTCAGGTGCTCAAACAGCAGCATATGGGTTTTGGGAATGGACAGAAGAGGTAGAAGGAAAGGCCACACTGGATAACATGCAAAAATGTAGTTAACATTTAAGGCCTGTAAGTCTCCATGTGGTCCTTATAAAGTGTAATCTTTCAAAAACCTTATGTTCCTTCTTATTTCAGACTTTCCTTTACTGAGCAGCCAAAAAAACCCCATGCCCTAAAAGCCAAAATTGATGATTAGATTTGACAGAAACAGAACAGAAAAGAAAGCTTGAATGAGACAGACTTTTTTTGTTTGTGTGTGTGTATTTGTGTTCTCCTAGCTCATACCCAGAATCACAAGAAATTATGTCAAAGAAGGATATATGGAGAAGACAGGACCAAAAGTAAGTGCATGCTTGGCAGTACACAAACAGGATTGTTCTAGATGGAGAATGTTTGATAATTCTGTTATGTTTACTAGTAAATGATGTGTTGAGTGACTGCTTGCTGGGCTGATAAAAGTTACTATATTTAAGCCTGTTGTGTTCTTTGGGATCATGTTTTGTTTTGTGTGAAAAATAAGACTGGGAAGAAGAATCCTCTTTGAAGAGTAAGCAAGATGGATTAGCTGGCAGTGGATGTGCAAAGTCTTGTTACGCAACAGCAGATGGATTGCTGTATCTGCTAAGTGCAGCTTTAGAACTGCAGCTCCTGCTTGAACAGAACATCACATGCTGACTCCCCTACTTCCCTGTTTCTCTTAAAGTCAGTAGCCCATAAGACACATCTGCTTATAGCAGCTAAGTATGATTGAGCAAATTCTTCACAGTGAAGCCAATGGTTTGGTTTGGTTTTTTGTGGGGAAGTATTTGGGCCACTACTCCTTAAAACAGGAGAAGGAGATTTCAGGCTCTGTTGAAGGAGGAGATGAAGATCTGAGGTCTTGTTTAAACATTGTCATGTCTTGTCTTGCTGTCCCCTGAGTGAATCATGAGCTGAAGTCCCATTAAAAAGTGCTAATAACATCAACTGCACTCATCTGACCATGGTTTCAGGATTTCTCTCCTCCAGCATTGCTAGCCAGGGATGGGCTGGGTGTTGGTCAGTGCGTGATGAGCAGTCGCATTGTGCATCATTTGTTTATATATTGAATATGCTGAGATTTAGGCCCAGCTCAGTGCTAGTGTCCCAATACATCTTCCTGCAGGTGCTTGCACAGAGAATACTCACTCTTATGACCATGAAAGATTGTGTGTTTTTCTCCTGAGGCCTAAATTCTGCTCAAACTGAAGTGAGCCCTAGAAGAGGACACTTCATTTTGGCCTGGAGCAATTAGCACTTTTAAAAAACCCTGTGATTTGTCCCTACCATTGTCCACGCCATAATGCTAGGGGCAAACCCCCAAACCAAAATGCTGAAATTGATTGCATCCTCTCATCATTAGAGCCACTGGCCTAGAAATCATTCTTTGCAGTGCTTTCAATTAATCCATTTGCTGCAACTTTCTTAATCCTAGTAATTTGATCAGCGGTAGAACCAAACTCCCTGCCTTACCTGAAGGATTGTCATTGAATGCAAATCTCTAGTGTGAACCCAAGGAGAAGGGAGCTGAGGGCTGCACATAAGAGTGACTCACCCATTACCAGTTACTGGGATGAATGAAGCTGAACTCAAACTCTGAGTCATTGACACAGTCCAGGGATCTGCCTTGAATAGGCTGAACTCCCCTTTGGGACTTTATCTTTAAAGAACTTCTACCATCTCCTTGCAGCAGAAGGAGGCCTTTAAAGTGCGCTGGTTCTGCCTGGATTCTCAAGAAAGGAACCTGATGTACTTTAAAAATCCACTGGTAAGAGGAGTGTTCTTCACTATTCCACAAGCCCCTTCATGAAGTTGGCTGGGGACGAAGGGTCTGTTCTCATCCAGCTCTTCCAGCAGGTGCGCACGACTGAAGCAGGCTGTCTCAAGAGCTCATCCCTTGTCAGTAGATCCCTTTGTAGCTGAACTGTTTGGGAACTCTGGCCCTTAACAGTGGTTGTGAGAAAGATCTAAGCCTTGTAAAAGTAGCTGCTACTGCCTGTAGCATTCATAGCCCACTCTCTCCCAGCCCTGTTGCCATTGTGCCTGTAACCTTAGGCACAATGAGCAAGGTACCAATAACAGAGGTTGGCAGCCCCAATATCCTGCTTCCTGGCACTGCTTGGCCACGAGAATATCTTTTCTTGCTCCTCCTGAACACCCACAAACTAGCTCTGCAAGGGTGGGTCCCTACTTCCTTCTTCTGAGAGTGCCCATGAGTGTAAAAAAAACTCCAGTGTGTTTCCTGCTGCCTGTCACTAAATCAGTGTCCCCTTCCTGCATCCCCGGTGCCTGCTCCCTGTGGAAGGACAGAACAGTGTCTGCCAGAGCTGCGCTGCCCTCTGGCTAATGGCTGTTTTCTGCCTGAGGGAGTGTGTGTACGGAGATGTGGCTGAAAACAGCTACAAGTGTGGGTGTGCCAAGAAGTCTCCTGGTTTACGTCCTGTGTAGCTTGATTGTTTTGAGAACACAAATGTATAAATGCTAACTGTGTGAGGAGGATGGGAGAGAGAGGAAAAATAGAAAATCTTGCTAGCAAAGAAGCCTGGATTCTCACTAACAATAAAGAAGCAGCTTGCTTTACCCAGAAAAAGGCTTGGAGTCCTTTTTCCTTCCCATCTTCATTCACCACACCCACTGGCTAATGGCTGTTTTCTGCTTCCTTCTTTCTAGGATGCATTTGCACAGGGCCAGGTCTTTATTGGAAGGATGGATGAGGGATATGAAGTACGAGCTGGCTTGCCCCAGGGAGTTCATGTGAAGAAGAGGAAACCAGCGATCACTGTGGTCACGCCAGTGAGAGAGTTTGTGTTTATATGTGTGAACGACAAGGAGCAGAGGGAGTGGATAGATGCTTTAAATGGAGTCATTGCCCAGCCTTTGACTGGTTAAAACTAGTGCTGAGATCTGGGGGACTGCACTTCTTGAGCTCTGTTCAGCACAGCTCCGTGGCCTCGTTACGTTGGCAAGGATGGTGCTCAAGGCTCTGCAGTGACTCTAGTACAAAGGGCTTCTTCCTTCAACAACCACAGGCACAGGAATGGGGACAACAGAGAAATGAGTGAGAGGGAGTGCAGATATTCAGAAATTATCTGTGCCCCTGCAGAACCTTGCTTGAAGTGCCTTTTCTCTTCCTACTTCTCTGCTTTTGAGCAGAAGACGCCTTCCCAGCCTGACATGGAGATGAATCATCCAGTGTAGTCTTGTGGAAAAAAACCCAAAGTCAGTGGAGAAAGTCTGACCCCAGAAGGGCTGGCATGCATTTCCTTGAGGACTCTGGCTGGTGCTGTTATAGCAGATCCTCCTTTTCTCACCTTAGTCTGATGTCAGAAGGACTCCTGAAGGATGCACTTGACAATCCAGCCAGTGGCATATATCCTGCCAGTGAACAGGGTTATGTGTTGCATGAGTACATAGGGACAGTGACTGAGAGGCAAAGATATCGTCACCTATCAGGAAGACGTAGGGTGTCCTGTTGCATAGATCCAAGGTGCCAATTCATGCTGGAGTCACTGGATGTCCTTCTCAGAGAGGAGCAGTCAGGCAGCTACACTCCATCTGGCTGCAGCTCCTGTCAAGATAGGGAGATGGTTGTTCTGAACAGAGTGGGTTTAATGTTTTTTACAGTGTTACATTTCTGGCACAGTAAAAAAATAAAACTCTGAATTGTAGAGGATACTGTAATGAACTCACTCCTGGCTCGTTGCTTTCAACAGTCTCTGCTGTTTGACTTTTATGAGTGGCAAATCCAACATGCGAAGAACAATTTATTCCAAAGCAACCCCATATAGTGCCCCAGCAAACACATCATGAGTACAGGATGAACGTACACTGATCTGTCTCACCTCCTGAAAAACAGCTGAAGCTTAATGAGCTAGATGAGTCTGAGCATTGAAAGGCAGAAACTAGTTTTAGAAGTGTTATCTTCAGTGGCTTGCTTGAAGACATGCACTGAATGAGCACCAGTGCTGGAAGTGGAGGGTGAGTGGCCTTTGATCAGGTACCACTTCACTTACATCCATTCTGTGCAGGAACTGGTCAAGATTTGCATTGGCTGACAGAGCGCACTGAGGATTTTCTTGCCTCAAAACCAGGTCTGAGATTTGGTTCTACCAAGCAGCCAGTCATTCAGATATTTAATTATTCTTTTCAGATAGCCTTAGCTTGCAAAACAAAAGGAAGTCTTGCAGACTGAGTTTCTGGTGTGGCTTCCACCTTTTGCTGACAATTGCCAGGCAGCCAGAGATACCCAGAATAGTTGTCTTCTGCACAAATGAGGAAGTGCCAATACTTGCAGGGATTACTGAGATTAACTCCCCCCCCTCCCCCAATAGTGGCTTGTCACCATCCAGCTCTGAGCAATCTGCAGCAGTTGTGCTTGCTGATACGCTCCCATGAACTTCCCTATGTTTCCACTCTCTCTCCCCACACGATCTGATTCATTCTAGCTCACATGCTGGTTCAGCAAATCTTTTTAAGAACTTAATCCAGCAGCCCTTAAAATCAATAGCAAAGCACCTTCTAACTTGTATGAGGAACAATGTCAGCCTTTGGTTTTACATATGGTAATTGTTACTTTGAGATAAGCTGAGTAACCCCGGATGACCTTGGAAGAGTTCAGTCTATCCTGTAGCCTAAACTTCACACGGATGGGGCTCTGCGAGTCCCACTGTGCTGTGCTGTGTCGCTGGCGCTCCCGGATCGGTAAGTAGACCAGCCATGTCAGCAACTCTGACATGACTTCTTGCAAAATCGGGAAATTCCCTGTGAAAATGAAATTGTGCAGATAACAGCAGCTTTTTTGGAGAGTCAACAGAAGTCAAGGCCAGGTCATGGAGAGCTCTGCGTCACAGTTCATTTCTAGTGTCAACTCAAATCCTCAGACCAAATTGCCAGCAGAGGAGCTGGGCTAGTACTGGCTTTCTGGCTGGTGTGAGGGGCTCCCTGGCTGAGCTGCCCCAGCAGAGCAGCGGGGTGCAGGCTTGGTGGTGGGGCACAGCCCTGTAGATAGCCCCATCCCAGTACAGCACACCAGTCTCTAATGGAGCAAATACCAGAGCAGAGCCCTCCAGCCCGCATCTTCACTTGTCCAGGTGCTGTCCCGCTCTCCGGCACACAGCAGGAGCCCAGCTGCCCACTCTGCCAGCAAGGCTTCAAGCTGAAGGACCTGCAGCCCAACTGGGAGCTAGTCACTTTGGTGAACTTAATCCTGCAAGAAGGAGAAGTAGCTGGAAACACAGGATGAACCAAAACCCTCCAGAGCTGTTGCCTGCAATGACCCGAGCTTGACGTGGCGGCGACCTGAGGAGAAGGTACAGCCAGAGACAGCCCAAGGCTCCTCCCCGTCACACCCCTGGGACAACTCTGGCCACAATTCTAAATACTTCACCAGGGTTATGAACATGGGGATATGGCTAGAATTGAGTTGACTTTATCTTTCTTTTCACCCCCCACCCCCAATACCTTGCATTTCACATGCTCATATTAGTCTTGTCATAACAATATCATGTTTGTTGAGCAGACAGGTTTAGCTAAAGCAGTGTTTGGGGTTCATTGGTGGTGTCTGATACATTGAAGACTTCACAGCTGAATTGGAAGTAATAGCTGTACACATTCAGCTGATGTCTGATATTAATGACTAACTGCTCTTTGTGCTGGGTGTTACTTACTGCACCAGTGGAGCATTGGAGACTCTTGAAAGGACACATAACACTATTATACAGTGCTACTGCTCCACCCAGCTGAATGGCACACAATAGGACTGGTTCATTACCTAAATCTCTGCTTAAAATAACTCCCAAACTTGGAGGAGATAAGAAAAATCTATTGACCTTTATTATTTTAGCATTTATGTGTCTAAAAAGTCTTATTCAGTCCCTGCAGTCGAGCAGAAAGCTGAAGCTCACAATTATATTTGAACATGTAATTGATGTCTGTTGCATGTTGACTTTGTCGTGACTATTCCCACTCAGAATTAATTGTTTTTTCCAAACCCCTCCTCAACCAGTCCAGCGTTTACCTAATGTCAGTGATGTAGGGATTTTTATTATCCTGCTGCTTAACCTAGTCATGCTTTCTTTGAGGGTTATATAGAGAAATGGTCCAATGTGTCACTTTAAAAGAGGAAAAGATATGGGGCATCTCCAAGCAACTAGAAATGACTGCAGAGACCATCCACCTCTTGAGGAAAGATCTCAGTAAAGCAAAGGTACACATTGTCCACTCACTACCTGCAGTTAGCTTCTGTTTCTACTGCCACCTGGAGACATGAGTGACTCCAGCACAGCCTTTCAGCCCAGAGCAGGAATCTGCCTTTTTGTTTCCTTCTGTTGCTGTCACAACTCTGTTTTTATTGATGAGAACAACCTATGGCACCAGCTGTGCTAACTTCTGTCTTGGCTGGTACAAAGGCCACTGGAGTTGTGTGTTGTATTTTTCTGTCTGCCCCAGGAGTAGCTTGAATATTTCTGGAACTCTTAGATGCAAAATGCAAATCATAAAGAGGGAATATTGATTTTTCTAAGTTGTCAAGTTTCTAAGCCAAGACTGCTGGCCATAAAATAGTAAAGATCCTAAATATGCCCAAAATCTCATTGCAGGTAGTGCAGGATAGTGTCAAATATATTTTATTCCTTTGAATAAAGGTAGCTGTTTCTGGTCTGCAGGGGTCAGTCAAAGAGCATGTTAGATGAGGCAGTAGATTCTCATATTCCACACATCTTTTCAAACAACAAAATGAACTCCATATTTTCTGTCTTTTAGGAATATGCATCTCCAATCAAAAGCCAGATTACTAAAGATTTCTGTTGCATGAAGGAATATGTTGAAAGACAGGAGAGAAACACACTGATGTTCATTGAACAAGAGCAAAAAGCAGCTCAACAGAAAATTGAAGAGACTATTCACCAGCTCTGTGGTGAAGTGAACAAGAGACATCAAAGCCAAAATGGTAAGTGAAGAAGTAGCAGAATATGAGTAGAAACTCTTAAGCTAAATGTTTTGGATAGCTGAACATGTACAGAGCACTTTCAGGTCCTCACTGCACTAGAGACAATGGTACCAATCCGCAGACATTGCTGTCACCAGGGCAAGTTTGGAGTGAGAAATTAAGAGGGAAAAAGTACTAAAAAAGGCATAGGCTGAGGATGAAATTCAGAACTAGGTTTGTTCCAAGGACATTGGTGAGCTGGAGTGAAGTGAGGAGTGCATGGCTTAAATCCAGTCCTGAGTCAAATCTAAGCTTAAGATAAGAGCCTTTATTATCTTTTTATTTTCCAGAATATGGATATGCACATATGTATGCAAGTTAAAGAACTCACAAAGTTATTAAGTACTTTCTAGCAACTTACTTGGGGAAAATACATCAAGGGCTCTCAAAAGAGGCAGTTAGAGCACTTTAAATTCTGCAAAGCCGGTTTTGGTGTTGAAAACTACAATGCCAATGATGTAAATTAGCCAGCAGGAAAAAAAAGGAATTTGGAGAGGGGCTCACTGGGTGCGACAGTGCCAGGAGACAGAAGTGGACTTCCAGGGCCAAGGCACAGGAGCCTACACTGGAATTCACCTTGTGTAACTATGTATTTATATCTGATCCAGAGGCCCGTTATAGGCAATGAAGAGAAACGGGTACTTTTAGAGCATGAGTCATCTGGCCTACTTGAGACGCCTACCTGAAATGAGATTAATCAAGCCTCCAAAAGGCCTGTTTGTTTCCACAGACTGTAAAGGCAGACTAAGAGAACAAGCTCAGATGTGGAGTTCCACAATTTCTACATTTAGCCTTATTTAGCCTCTAAATGAGGCTCACCTTTTCATGGGTATTTTATGCTAGCTCTCATGCTAATACATTTTAAAACTTTTGGTTTGGGTTCTAGAACAAGAAGAAAGTTTAAAAAGAGAAAGCTTGTGTATGCATATGTATACTTAAGGAAATTGTAATGTGTGTGTATATATATATATGTGAAAAATTAGTCCCATTCATAGTTTTCTTGGGGAAAACAAATTTTATTTTGCATTAAAAATAAACTACCCTTTTGTATTTTCTGTAAGATTTCAGGTTAGT